AAATATACCTCATATAATTTACTTTGTTGTCCCTTTTTTATTCAAACACTTATTACGAGCAAACAACCAATTTGATGCTTTGACAAAGAATATGATCTTAGAGCTATTTCATAATGCCTTAATACATTGCTGCAAAAGTCATTGGATTTGTGCGAAAACTAGCTTTCAAAGAATCCCTTAATAGATTGATGTCGGAGTACCTTTCATTTCGTTTGAAAAAACTAGTGGATGAGATTTATGAGTTGGCTTTATCGGAAGCGGAAGGGGAATTGTCTTGGAGTTTTGACTTTAGATTTGTGCCAACAATTCCTCGGCGAACCGCCTTGTAACTCCGATGATTCCTTGCTAAGCTTTCCACCGTCATGTGACCGATATCGTAAGTGAAGAACGTCATGCATTACGATAATTCACCAAACCCAAAGACCATCAAGGTGACCGGCCACAAACTTACCTACCTGTTATGGCCTAATTTTATCCATTTAATGACATCTCATGTTTCCTAGATGTTTGCTTGAACGTGAAGTGGCTACAGATGAAGCGTGAAACGGATGCAATTGTGACAGGAAAACTGCATCCTCTTTTTTCTTATCTTCGTGCTTAGTAAATTATGGTAAGGCAAGGTGTCCTGCTTTCACGATATTCGTCATATGACGGATGAAAGTTCAGCTTAGATTAATTGTGGTCTTGGAGCAGTTCGACGACGACTTATTTACACAAATCTACAGTCAGCTCTGAGACAATCCCCCTTAAGCTTCCGCCGAGGCCAGCTTATGAATCTCTTCTCGCATTCTCAAATAATTGAGCGATATTGCAGCACTAGTCATTGGATTTTCCCATTTTCTTCATGTGGCATTTGAATTATCTACTTTACCAATAACAAATATTGCATTGAGCCTAGGCTGGAGATCTCTTGACTTGGACTTTGAATATCTTAGGAACTTGTGATATTGAATTAAGTAATGAATAATTATGGATTAAGTCTGATAAATCAGCATAACGAGCTTAGCCTATTTTTTAATGCAACACCTATGTATCTAGTTTCGCTCTTCTTAGCTTTAGTAATCGTTGGAAGCTTGTTATTCTCTTCTTCCCCTCTTTATTATTTGTTCCTTTGGCAAACTAACAGCATGAATGCCCCTCATATACTATTTGCTGAGACAATTTTTTAAATAACCTTAGGGCTTTTTACCGCAGAAGAGTTGATAATAAAACCTCTTGTATCTCTCTTGACTCAACTCCTTACCTTAGTTTGATCACAACATGAAATCGCTTAGTCATGCAATACTAGTTGAAGCAACTACATCCATACATGAAGAAAATCTGGGTCTCATACTCACGCAATTAAACTAGGAGTTATGTGATCAGTAATAATCGGAGGTCTGCGCCTTGCAGATGTAGATTATCGGGACCAGAAAGTGAAACCGATACGGAAAATTACAGTAGCGGACAATTAACTATAAATTTTTACTAGCATTTACTGGAGAATTCTGGTAAATAGGATGATGAAAAACATCTATCTGGAAACAAATTGAAGGATGCTGTCACTGTCCTGTCAACTTTCTCAAATGATAGGCGAATTGTTGATGAAGGAGTTCGGAGCAATTTATAGAAAGAATATAATACTTTCCTTTCCGGAAAGTTTCACGCTCTAGATCAAGTTGTCACAAGTAAGAATATTTGTGGAAAAGGCCTTTCGAGCTATACAGAAGAGGTGATCTGAATACAAATCAGTCTATGAAGTTTTGAGGGTAAAAACCTCGGAATTGGCTAACACGGGACACAATGTATGATGATTTATAACACCAAACGGTAAGCGGATTATTGATGTTTTATAATTATGTGGAAAACTATGGATTCCTTTAAAATAAATGAAACAACCAACCTGAATAGCAGAATCGAATGTAGACTATGTGTAGATAAGATCACAACCGGCCACAATTTCTGACTCAATGTGAATCACGAAAGCTCTGCCCGGATTCATCGGAATTGCAAGAAGGTGTTTAGAGAACCACGCTTAAATCAGCACTAATACTACCGGGGAAATCATCCCTCGGTCTCCAGTTATGCTAATTTGCGAATCCTTTCCACCGAACTTTTCTAACAAATTAAAAAGTTTAACAACATTAATAAATATATCTTCCTCAATTTATTTTGACAAGCTTTGCATTTACTGTTTCCTTATTTGCAGGTTTGCAGGTTATGTACTTTGTAGTGTTAATTATGTGATACTGGCCTTTTTATGTTACAACGTTTGATAGCTTGATTTCCTTTTAAGCGCCTTGCAGCAGATTTGGTTTTACTAATGAAATTCACTATACCCTACAGCTAAGATGCCTATTCATCTTCCTTGACGGAGGCTTCGATCTCGTAGAAGTCTCATCGGTCTTCAGTTGGATATAGACTTATGGCACAAGAGTCCATAAACAAAGAGTTTATTCTTCATATTATTCAGCCTTGATGCAAGTGACTAAAAGACTGCCCGACTTTCTATCCAGAAGAGTCATAATTGAGGTTCATTTGTTTGCATATAGCTTCCCTACTATTATTTTAATCTTTATAAAGGATTTTACTCCGCATTTCCGAGACACAATATGCTAGAATGCATTAACAAAATCATGCGTTTTATTCAATTCATAATGGACATCTTAATCCTAATTTTTCGATTTCCTCATTAAAATCATGTTTCCTTTTTGCCCTATATGTCTATTTGTGTTAGCCGGCACGGCGAAAGGTTGGGTTGCATCAAAACCTATTTATCTCCATTAAAAACAAGTTCCTCCTTTCTGTAAGCATTCTGCGCATGAATTTTAGATTATCTAAACTCAATCAGCTTGACTTCTTTTTTAATAGTATTAATTATGTCTTTATTTTTCTATCTTAATGGTGGTGATGGTTGTACTGATAGACCATAATTTATACCTCTCCTTAGCCCCACAAGAGCACTCTGGCTCTACTATAGACATGAATTGGGAGGTGTTTATTTATCCATAAACATTCATGCTTGAAGCTAACTCAAAAGCTCTAGGATCATATTGTCGTAACTGCGATATGTTTTGTAATTGCTTGACCTTATTTTCTAAACTTGGTCATAGTTTGAGGAAGTCCTAGAGGAACGCATTTTGTCCAGAGTCCATAGTATGCATGATAATTTCTAGAGTCGGAATGTGGGCTTGGTGCATTCCCAGACGTTTCGCCGGCTAAGTTGCGAAAAAAGGTCAAACAACTACTATGCATCGAAAGGAGACTGTGATCAAAATAGAGACCATAACATTTTGGTCCTTGTATTTGCAATGTGTTTGTTTCGGAACCAACACGACTGCGTATCGAATTCCACTTATTGTAATGAATAGAATGAGGCATGATAAATACAACGATCCACTTTGAATTGAAGCGACCTTTTTGATCTTTTAAAAAACTCACAAAAAACGAGACCGAGAATGGGCGTCAGCTGCAATCCTAACCAGTCCCTATAACCCAAGTTAATGACTAATGAGGCACACTATTTGTTTGACTACTTTCTGCTTATATCTATATGCTTTTAGATGTCTAAAGTTTAGGTGGAGGTAATCAAAAGATCTCTTTCCTCTCCAAAATGACCCGTACAGTGAAACTATAATGATAGTCTGTATCCTGGT